AATTGAAATTACATCAAAAGAAGCCTCGAGAGAAAAATTTGGTTTAAATGATCTGTTTACGAAACATTGGACTAACGAAAATCGAGCTCCCTTGGTATTTACTTCTGCTGTTATTGAAAGGAGAGATTTACACTAAATCTGAGGTAAGGTTTTTCATGACTCATTTAGTCCTGTATTTTGCCCAAGTAGCTTTGATATGTGAGAAGAGTTTGAGGAGAGACTTTTTATGCTGATATCATGCTGTGATTGTCTTGTGAAAGGTAGGTTTCCTACGCATTCTGATGTTTGATGTTCGTTTGTTCGTGTACAGTCCAATTTTACAAATGCAAAAGGCATTTGGAAGCTTGGAAATCTCGTTATAGAAACTATCAAACTATTTTATTCGATCGTTTACTTAGTGATCAACAGGTGCCAATTCACTATTAACCAATTTATATCAATATTTACCAGAACATTCCTGGATAGTTCAAAGGATTGCTCATGGTCTAAAAATATACCATAAACAAAGAAATTCAATCTTGTTAAAAAAGTTTGAAGCACAATTCTTCTACTTATGCGTACAACAGCTATTGCAGCAAATATTTTTCAAGAGTTATTTAAGCCACTGAAGCACCGACTGTGCGATTTTAAAATCACGAAGTTTATATTCATTAAGAATTTATTTGTATATTTTTCGTGATGAAATCTTTAGTTCGTTAGTTTAGAATTCTTTCACAAATATTTAAAGATCTCACAAGAAATTTAAATAAAACTAAAATGGTCCATGAATCTCTGCTAGTAACTTTGAGAAAAAGTACATTAATAGAGGTTTCTTGCAAAAACATAAAATTACAATACTCTCAACTCTGTGTGCGATTGTAGGTTTTTAAGTAGGAAACAAGTTATGAAATTGTAAAGTTTATGTTTGCATTGGGAAGCAGGATTTAGCTGGTTTGATAACTGTTTCTGGAGACTTGACCTTGCAATCAGACTCTTATCAACTACTCTAACTCAAATAGTTTAGATTACTCAAATTATGCGCAATCGTTATGTAACTACTGCGCCATTTTCTTGATACAATTGATTGGCAAAAACGTTGGGATTGAAATCTTTTGAATCGAGATTCCCGTCTTTGCTATTATTTTTTCCCGCCAAAAGTTTATTTCCTATGATTTCGAAGAGTCAGGACCTTACAGGAGTCTCCACATACTAGTAGGTTTAAGGGACCATAGTCCATCCCCAGAAGTGTCAGGCATCTAAAATAAAAGGCCACGAACCTTGAAGCTACCTTATTTGCATAGGACACTTGAACTTTGGTATGAAATCTACTTGAACGGTTTTTTGCCGAACTTAAATTTAAACCGTCGGCTGAACCCGTATTTACATGGATGAACGAGGAGGTTGTTATGCGGCTTCTTTGTTAAATACAGTTCACTGTCAAAGCAGAATTGTGTTCTCAAAGCATTAAAGGGTCTCAGGCATTTTCCGTGAGTTTAAACTTTAACGTTAGCTTCAGTTATCCAATGAATTGTGCCGTCTGCTAGACATTCTCTGAATTAAAAGATTTTCTGAAAGAGGGCCTAATATAGACTTTCTAATGTTATCGCTGCCAGCGGTTATCGCCGTAAAATCGTCATTTTCATGTTCTTCACCCTGGTTCTTCACATCCCGTTACGACTATTAGGCCGTCGACGACAAAGAAACATTCATACAAAGCTACAGCTACCAAAAGGGCAATTCCAACAAAATATCAACATATGGACAGCATTATCCTAATAAATTTTAAATTCTTCTATCATGTGCCTTTACATAATCATAAGATTTTGTCCTTCGCAAAATTTGATTTTCGATTTCATTTTTCTTTTGTTTATTTCTTCATTTTTACACTATTTTTACGGAGTTCCTTAAAAAAATCTTCCTCTTGTTTTCATTCTATACTCGCTTTTTATGAGAACAGCCATACCTGCACCGGCCATTTTTACAAACAAGCAGAAGCGGACTGGCCCACCGGGACACCGGGAAATTTCCCGGTGCGCCCTTTGCCTCAGGCTTTTTTTTCAAAACTTGAAAAATTTCAAAAGGCATTCGCACAGAAATAAAATCGATTCTACAATCATCAATTGACCTCCTGTCCAAAATACGCTTGCATAAAAAGTTTAGCTTCACCTTTAAGTTGAGCAATATTAAGATTGAATGCAAAGTTTCTCAATTCCTGTTATTGTAAAATTTATTTGATCAGCAAATTCTGCTAGACTTTCTGAAATCCTTGAAAAGAAAATATTTTGTTTTGAAAACAGCTTAAAAACCAAACATTTTAAAGCATATTAGAAGGTTTTCCGTCTGAAACTCCTCAGAGCATAAAACGTCAGAATAAAGGGTCCGAAAGAGCAAGATGACTTCCAACCCCCCGTTTCGTTTGCATCCTAGTTCCCCCATTCTGTTGTTCATTGCGAAGGTTTTTTAGAATGAATTATGACAACGTTTGCAAAAAACTGATTCTCAGCTACACAAAGTTTTTCCGGACCCGTTTTACAAACCCCAAAGTTAAGCAACTTTAGCACCTATTGGCGCCATTTTGGTTACTTTTTCTGGTGGGTAGAATAGTAGCCAGTCCGCCACTGCAAACAAGACATCCTTAGAAAGAATCATATGCATTATATTCATTGGACCACAAGCAACCACACGATAACGAAAACATAACTGCAAGTTTCCTTGATTGACAAGCTTTTCTTGCCAGAACAATTTGGTAGAAGCAGCTTCAGTGAAATCGGCCTACCTCGCAATATCTCTGGAATTTTTTTTCCATCACAAAGTTCGTTGGTCGTGATAAATAGATATGCCGGCCACAATAAGACATGAGGGCCAGAAAATCAGTGCAAAAAAGAAGAAAATGCGATATATTGGCTTTCTCGGGAATTCAGAGGGATTACCCTCCTTACTCTAGCTTCCTCTTAGATAAGTAAAGGCGCACGGTGCAGAGTCTCCCTTCCTAGCCCTACTCTGAGACAATGTCCTTGCCACTTTACAAGGCCTGGCAAAGCAACTAAGCTTTCTCTCAACCTCGCTCATTCTGTCACGGCGCTCTGCAAATGTTAAGTAGGTGTTGTCATGCTTCTTGATTTAAATTTCTTTCCTTTGCATATCAGGGGAAATAGTTTTGAATTTTTCGTCAATCCTGATAAGAAAATTTAAATTGTTGATTGTCAATCTCAATGTCATACATGGGGGATTTAAGAAACATGATCGATTATAAAGTATTTACTAGTCTGTGTCGACGGATCAGCCTGTAAGATTGGAAATAAAACGGTTAAAAGGATGGCAATATACTCTAGGTTATAAAGTAAATGAACAGTCCAGTTGCCTCACCAAAAAGCCCAACCACTGATGGCTCTTTCATTCAAAGCAAAACCTATTGCATATTATTCAATACAAGTAAATATTGTTTCAAATAATATTATTCTATGTAGGATATGATCATGTAGATAATTTGCAACTTAAGAGTCGTTATGACCACCCATTTCGTAATCTAACCGCTTACATTCATTAAGCCCCTTTTTGCAAACCGTTCAAAACAGGCAAAAGTCGTATTTGCAAAAACACATTACAAAGCTATCAGGAAAAACATTAACATGCCGTTCCTTATCAAAAGATCTAAATTACTGAGGTATCCTCCCTATATTATAACTTAAGGCTTTCAGCTAGCTGGAGGTGCCTACCTAGAATATCACAGATCTCGAAACCTTGAGAGTCCTTTCAATTGGTCTTTTCATTTTGAGGATGTACGCTCAGTTATGACGTCACAAAAATAGTTATAGAATTTCTTAATTCTGACTATATATACAAAGATGAATGTTTTGATAGAGCCTTGTGAAGAACAGCAGATACAACAAAAACCTAAGCCAAGGCAATTGTTATTTTTTAATTATGTCTTCCATTGGTAACTTGTTATTGATTCACCTGATTTTCTACATTTCAATATATCCTATGGTCTGTAGTAATTAGATTAGGGCCCAGGACTCAAGAGACACAGTGTTTTGTTGACTTCTGGGATTAGCATTACAATCCTTTGCTTTTCCATAATTTCTACCTGTTGCAATCATAAATTATATTTAATGGTCCAGATTTGAAAATTCTAAAAATGGATTGTTATGATTTCGTCATTTCGTTCCAATATAGTTTATACTGCATTTGTGATAAGTACAACTTCATGTTCAAAAAATTAAACAAAGTAATAAAGCTTTCCGTCTGACACTCTTCTGAGTATAAAACGTCAGAACATAGATCGAAAACCCTACGCTAGGTAATCTATATAATCAGTTGTTGATCGAAATAGGCCAACCAGAAAACTTCATATTCCCATATTTTCAATGAATTTTTGTGTAACGCTCCGGACATCTTTATGAATTCAAAGAAAAAGAAAAGTTTTGAGAATGAAAAAGCAAGCTAGTTAAGAGTTATTTTTGGTTTTGCTTTGTCTCTTCCTTTCCATTTATTTTCATCTCATTATCATCGAAATATTCATAAATCCAAACCGATACATACATCCAGTGTCTCTTCCTTCTACCATTCTGTTTACAAAGTTAATTAATTGCTTAGAATTTCATTATACGGCAGTCTTATATCTGTTATTAACACTATCATAAAGCACTTTTTATATTCTATATATTCAATGCTGTTTGCTTCTGGAAATGCTAATCAAAAATCAAAATATCTTGTTATATTAGTCACACCTTATTTTTGCTTGATTGGTGTTTGAAAGGGGTTGCTACTGGTTTCTTCCCGGTCTTGCATAAAAGGTTGGCAATTAATCGTCATGGAGCGATTTACAAGTACTGGTGTCCACATAACAAGCGCTCGAGTCATGCAGAGCCAAGTCAGTGCTATTAATCGCTATTCTTAATATTAATAATTAAAACAATTTGGATGTGTCATGCTCTGTCGTTTAAAGTGGACAGCGTTTTTCAAGCATATTCAAACACCGCTATAAAGTTATTACTTGTTTCAAATTTCTGCAAGTACATAGTACGAGTTAGTATTCCGCGTCTTAACTGGTTCACTTATCGCTGCAGCTTATCTTCCTTGCTATCTTAAAGCCCCATCTTGATAAGTCATGTGACCAGCGGAAAATCAGGGGGGTTCGATTGATTTAATTGATTGTAACTAAAAGGTAATTGTCAGACGTCTTCTAAAGTGCGAAAAAGAAAGACGTCACTATCACAGCTCAAGCAGACCAGGCGTTTGTTGTAGATTTGGAGCTCATTCCAACATCTCAAAAATACGCCATTCTCCCGTCGTAGATACACAGAAAACTCGAAGTCACATCGAAGAAAGTTAAGAAGAGAGACACAAGTCTGCGTTTGACATTCTTCCTGGTATTTTTCGCTTCAGCACATTGCCGTCTCTGCATCTGAATCTGTGAGTGACTACTAATTTATTTCTTATCTTGTTTTTTTACTGAGGCCGTGTTTCTACACTATCCCTTATTCCACAAAGTGAAGCTGGGTCGTAAGTACTTAGTATCTACTTCTATCGATGTCATTTGTCTCAAAATTCTCGCGTGAAAATTTACGTGGTACCTCTGCTAGGCAAACCTTGCTCACTCGCTTAGCCGATATCTCTTGCAAGAGCATGACGTTTTAGTAATGCATGGGCGCTGCATCAAAGCCTAGTTATGTCACATTGTTCTTTGCCTACATGGAAAGTAAAAGTATTTTTACCGAGGTATCGAGTCTGCAAGGAGCCTGTCCAATTGATTTAAATTGGGCATTTATAGTTTTCATTTGAATCTTTAGCGTGCATGAGCCATATATCCACACAAGGTTCTGTGCGAAACTTTGGTGAATTTTCCTATAAGATATGAAAAAAACAGCAGTTAAAGACCGGGTCAACGCTGCTCATCTGTTCCAAATTATCGCCGAACCTGTGACAGGTTTCTATGGAACTGCATCGTAGGCGAAGCATTACCGATGCATTACCATGCAAGACAATGGTTTTATGCTAGCTTTAAATCTTGATATGATAGCAAAGGAAGCTCAAGAACGTAATTTATCTAGTGATTGTTCAGTATTGTGGTGTTCCTTCAGATGACTGGACGAAAGTGATTATTCGCCTTTTTGGGCAGCGAACCAGCCCTAACACTGTTCTAACGGCAAGAAAACTCAGTCCGTTACCCGACATCCAGAACAACCCCATTACAAAGATCAGTGACATTGTGGCTCTTAAATCTTTAAGTCAAAACCTCAAGTACGTTTTATAGTAAACTGTCTGCAAATCCCTCCGTTCGCCATACATTAATGCAGATAACTGTGGTAGCCCAAAGACATACAACTGGCTTGCATAAGTTTAATATCATTGAACGGTAAACGGCTTACAAAAGAGCATAATAATTACAACTTGCTTCTTTATTTCTGCCACAAAAATACCATATGTTAAGAACACCAATGTTTTAATGTGCTTGAAAGTTTTACTTCACTATATGCTATTCTTTGTACGGCCCCGCCCAAGTTGGCATACCAACTTTGTATGGGCGTCTCCATTCAGAGGTATGAGCAATTTACACTGTAAAGATGAAGTGTGCAGTCGCAAGATACAATTTAGGCCTTTGTGCGTTTATCGGCTGATAAACTCCAACTTTAAGCAGATGCTCCTATGAAGGCAGTAAATTCAGTTAGCACTGTCCAGGTATTGCTTCCCTTGCGTTGTCCGTACCAAATCAAATTTAGCAATGACCGTCATGTTTGATTAAAAGCGTACTAAAGACCCAGTACCGTTAAATTGTCACATTAACAAACTCTAAAATCCTAGTGTGGAATTATAGGGACAAAAAATTTTGAATTAAGTTCTAAGTCGTTCTGCGCCACGCCCCGTACACAAAAACTAATATTGCCCAAGAAGGGGTTGTTGCTTTGTGGATTGGGACAACTGACTGTAGTGATGTCCCCCACCCCTTATTGCCAAAAATGCGAAAAATTTACCAATCAGTCAATCATCAGTCCAACCACCCTTTATTCTGTTTTAGCATCTCAGATGCTTCAAATGGTGCGGCTCTTTGCCTCGCGGCAATTCCTCTCCGAGCAAATACCTTTATTCTCTTTTTACAATCCTCAACTTATTCTTGAAATAACCCTCAGTTGTTGTTCTCTTATTACATGAAAATAGAGCGCTCTCCTAAAAAATGAAATGGGAAAGAAGAACTAACTCTGGCACTCTTTAGTTCCAAGTAAACACTTTCTCCATCTATACTTAGATAAGCAAATATTTAATTAAGCCAGTAGACACAAAATTAGCTCGCCGTTGCAATGAATTGACCTGTGGATTTACCGAATTAAAGATTTACTTGAACCCTAAATTTATATCATGTCTTGAAACGTTTTATTGTTGTAAGGAAATACAAAGCAGAAGGCGTGTGGCTTGGTCTGAACCACTCAGGTTGGAAGTAGCTTTTTTAAACCAATCAAATCATGGAACGGCTTAATTAACCCAGCCTTTCATTGACAGTTTTAATGGCCATGCATGCAACAACAATCTATAAAATCACATTGCCTTATAAGGCGTTATTACTACAAATCTTTAAAATTCTGATAAAGACATAATACAGGCGCTCAAATGCTTTGAAAATTCTATTTTTAGACAAGGATGCTTAGCCCCCGCACTCCCAAACCAATTATACCGATTTATGAACTTTTTAATTAAGCACCCTATTAGAATCAGGTTATGCCAAATTCCTTTAAGAGCATCAATGGGTAAAGAAACTGCTGTCGCTGCATCTTTCAGGGGATAACAAGCCAAAATGTGAATCCTGTTTGTGACTATTTTTTCTATACAATTAAATCCATTAAAACAGCTAGATTCCTATGGAAATAGAAGAAAATTTGAAGCTATTTTTAGACAAACAGGACCTATGTCCGTTAAGTCGCTCACAAAAATTTTGATTACATTTGTACGGCTACGATCCTCTATTGTAGCTTGAAACAAAGGATGAAGAGGACTAGGGCCGAGCGCCCTTGGCAAAGCATAGCATTTGGGTCGTTTCATACAGTTCCTTTGACTCTAATATTCAACACATCTCAAATCATCGGGTTTGGTAACTATTTCAGTTCTTACTCAATAAGCAAACAGCATTTCTGCACAAGTTGCATGTTTCGAGGAGGTGTAGCTTTATCTAAACCAATTCAAACGCATGTAGATTGCTTCAAACCAATCAAGTCATAGCACTGCAGAATTATGTCAGCATTTCATCAGCATTTTAAACGATCGTCCATGCAGATGCAATCTAGAGAGGGACACTGGCTTGAGGCAATTAGGGCCTAAATAAACTGAATTCATAAATTTGACTTCCAAAGATGTTATCTCCCTCTAAATTTATTATTGACATTGCAATTCTAGTGTAGTGTTCCTCTTCTTTACAGTTCCTGATCATTAAACAATATCTCATTCATCTACTTGGGGATCTGTATGAGATTCGCCCAGCACATAAACAGTACTCCAAGGGTCTATCTACGTAAATGATGGAATTTACCAAGGGATTCAAGCACCAAATGCGTAAATAACTTATCTATTGACGTTAGCTGATTTCAAGAGTTGTAAGGATTGAAGGATAAGCCTTCCTTTCAAGCCAAAAACGTTCACATGAAACAGGAACCGTTTTTTCACCAGTTCTTCTTCAAATAGTTTAGTTCTAAGCGTTCATGGTGTCTTTCAATAAAAGATTAGAACTGCTATTCGCTGACGTCATAGATGACAAACTCCTTATCTTGCTTTTAGAAACACCATACAAGAAACGCAATATCCGTGCAATTTTTAGTATTCACGTCCGTATATTGATTTTTGGCTTCAAGATGTTCGGGTAACTTTTTTGAAAGTGAATGATGATATTAATTTGCAGCTCAATTTAAAAACAAACCTCTTTCTCCAAACTAGGTTTCCTAAACTTTGCATGACATGCCAAAAGATGTTTTGAAATCTTCTCTTCTACTCTTATGCAATGCATACAGACAGAAGTGTTGTCAACTTTCTTTATTAAGACTACGAGTTTGCAAGATTCTTGCTTGTAAGGCATCAGTATTTTGTCTCGACATTTTTTCTTTGACGTTTATCTGATTTTTTACGGTCGATCGAACAAAATCATTATTTTTTTATCACAGAATGATAACACTTGATACCAGAGATTCTTGATACCAGAGATTCTTGATACCAGAAGTGTTTCCGTTTTTGCTAGCATTTATAGCTTATCTTCCATCAAATTCCTAATATTTCTCAAAAACTGGTTAAAATATCCTTCTTAATGGTATTTCTGAACAAGAGATAATATATTTGCTTTGCAAAACGACTCTTGCATCTGTCGACTCGTTAATCCGTGGTTTTTAACCTTTTCGACTGAGGGGTTCGTAGTGACGTGTTTATGAAGGAAAGAAGTGGCCTTGGTGTCATCAAGGTCCTCAGATCAGTCCAACTGAATGCCTTACTCAATCTCTGATTAAACAATAATAGCGGTTGTGAAATAGATCTTCACTCGCCAGTCATGCGTGGATATTCTATTTTCAGATTCATGCATCTTGTTTGCGCCATAAACGGTGCATTTCTTGCAAGTTTTGCTGTATTAACATTCTTAGTTCAAGCATGGATTAGCAAATTCAAGCAGGAAGCAGCGAACACCAACATAAACAAGGAAATGGCCATTCGAAACGGCTATTCAGGGCTTTGCTCATTCTGCATTCAGTTTGAATTGCCCATGCAGGTCGTTGCTTTGTTGTATAATTAAGACTTTTTTGAAGATTCACATCGCAACAATACGTTATGTTGATAGTCTGTAAGCTGATCAACCCAATTCACAGAATCAAAGGAAAATATGTAAAGAAAACACTTACCCTCCACGTCGAAAAACCTGACCGTGAGAGTATCCAAGTATCCAGCCGCTAAAATATGATCGTTTAAGCTCTATATTTATGTTCGCATCTGCCAACCACAATAGTTTTCCTACTCTTTGAGGTCTTTTTCATCGGTGGTGTTACAATTTGCATACTAAGCCTTTCTTTTATATTAGGGAGACATTAGTAAACCGGCTGAAACAATGGAAGTTTGATGTTGCAGGAGGGGTAATGACCCCCTAGTTAGTATGCTAAAAGGACCCCGAGATAGTGACTTCTGGAGCATTGTAGGGTTGACACACAACTTCTCAACGCAACACACAGCATCAGACTTTACGTCTCCAGCAGTGGTGACGCCAGGGGAGGGCTAAGGGGGCTACAGCCCCTCCGTAGAAAGCATCTAGCCCCCCCCCTATCGGAGGAAATTTTAGGTTATTGTCGGAGCAAATTTGACAGAATAACGTACGAAAACTGCTTATTTTAGTCATTTTAGCCCCACTGTCGGAAGCTCCAACCCCTCTGTCGGAAGATTTCTGACGGGGAACTGTC